ACTCACTCTAGGTTAAAGTCCAATGAAAAAAAAAAGTGTTTTTAAACGAGTTTTAAAAACAGAAAGTGATGGGGCCTGCCTGACCTCCAGTGACAGATCATTCCACAATTTAGGAGCCAGAGCTGAAAAGGCTCTGTCTCCTCTGGATTTATAAAAGGTTTTCGGGACTGCTAAAAGCATCTGGTCAGAGGATCTAAGAGCACGTGATGGTATGTAAAAGTGAAGCAGTTCAGACAAATAAGAGGGACTAAGACCGTTCAAAGACTTAAAAACAAACAATAGAATAGAAGGATATTTGGGGCGGGACAGTGGCTCAGTTGGTAGAGCTGTTGCCTCTCAGCAAGAAGGTCGCCAGATCAAATCCCAGCCATGGACCTTTCTGGGTGGAGTTTCCATCTTCTCTTCGTGTATGCACATGGGTTTTCTCTGGGTACTCCAGTTTCCTCCCACAGACCAAAAACATACATGTTAGACTGATTGGTAACTCTAAATTGTCTCTAGGTGAGAGTGAGAGAGTGAATGGTTGGTTTTGCTTGTCTCTGTGATGGACTGGAGACCTGTCCGGGATATGGGCTATGGGCACCAGTGACCCCTGTGACCTTTTTTTTTTTCAAAGACGAATGTTTTAAATAATACTGGGAGACACAGTCATCCCCAGGCTGCTATTTCTCATTATTTTCACACAAGATTGTTTATTGATAGTTTGAACATCCAACATGAAGATGTAACTTGCAGTCAGAGGTTCAGGAGCTCATCTGTAGTTTGGTCAAATTGACCTTTAACCTCTTGACTGAGCCTGAACAATGTTCAAACACCTCTGAATGAACCAGCTGAGAAGTTCTGACCATCTTTCCATCTGATTTTATGTTTGACGAGTTTAAAGCAAACCCAAGGCTCTGTAGCCATTATATCTGTGTGTACCTGAATGTGGTTTAGATAAACCTGCCATCAAATGAGTTCCTAAATGGTACTTTTCATATGACAGCACCCATGAAGATTTCCTCTGCTGACAAGTAGAATCCTCATTGTTAATAAACCCTACAAACTTCAAAGGTTTACGTTAACTAGTTTTCTTTTATATTTCAGACAACTAAAGTCTTGTCTTGTAAATATGTCTTAATAAAATTTATTTAAAGCTTGAGGGGCAGCACGGGGGCACAGTTGGCAGAGCTGCCGCCTCTCAGCGAGCAGGTCGATGGATCAAATCCCGGCTGAGGCCCTTTCTGGGTGGAGCATGTTCTCTCTGTGCATGCGTGGGTTTTCTCCAGGTACTCAAGTTTCCTCCCACAGACCAAAAACATGCACGTTAGACTGATTGGTAACTCTAAATTGTCCCTGTGTGTGTGAGTGAGAGAGTGAATGGTTGTTTGTCTTGTTTGTCTCTGTGAAGGACTGGAGACCTGTCCAGGATATGGGCTATGGGCACCAGTGACCCCTGTGACCTGTAAAGGAAGAAACGGGAAAATATGATGGATGGATGAAGATGTACAGTACTGTATTTTTGTTTGCCCAAGATTGTAGTAAAAGGTGTTTCAATGTTGAACTTTTTTTTTCTTCTAATTGACAACACTCTCTCTGTGAAAACATCACGTTTTTGGAGTTTATTAAATTTCAATATTCGGCTACAGGAATGTAGAACAACAAACAAAAATTGATCACCTCCTCTCCAGTGGTTTCTAAGATTTATCTTCAACAGACCAATGAACACTCAGAGATGGACAATATTAATAATAAATTAAATATCTATAATTAGAGCTGCTGCTTTAATGACAAGAGTTTTAACTTTTATTTTACCAAATTGAGATGGATTTAATTTATAACATTCATAATTCTGAACCGGTTCTGCTGCTACTCGAAATGGGCGGACGGGGCCTTTCTTTCTGGACCCGGTCCGGTTCAGGTGTGGCTGCGGCTCCGGTTTCTCCTCCGGGATGGGCGGGCCCAGTGAGGAAGAGGAGGAGCAGCTGGACTCGGTTCGTTCTGTCGCAACTTTTTCTTCTCTTTGTTTTACGGAGGTTCTGATGGACCGAGGGCCGCCGCTCGAACCGGGCCAAAGCGGGTTACAGGCGGGTTAGAGGGGGCAGCTCGGACCCGGATCAGAACGGTCCGGGATGCGCTGCAGGTCGTGGCTCTGTTTGGATCAGAACCAGGATCATGTCCCGATAAGAGGACTCTCTGGAAACTTTTTTTGGGTTCGTTTCCATGGAGATGAGCGATTTTCCCGGCAGCTGAAGAGCTGATCAAGCTCCGATTAATAATCGATCATATTTATTGATCGTGTATCGATCAGGATGGGCGCGCGCCCGCTGCTGCTGCTCGTGCTCTGGATCTGCGGACACGCCAAGAGCACGTTCCCGCTGCGACCCTCCTACAGCCTGTACACTGGTGGGCACGCGCACGGAGCCAGCACGGCCAGCAGGCACAGGTAAGACGACACGTGCACGGACAGGATGATGATGATGATGAAGAACTGAGAGGGTGATTGATCCTGTAGAGCTCGTGTGTGTTACTTCCTCTCTAACCCGACTCACCTTAAAGGCAAAATAAATAAAAACCTTCTTGCAGCTGCAAAAAAAAAAAAAAAAAAATCATCTTTTAACTCTGATCATCATCATCTTCATCATCATCTTCATCATGATCAGGGTGAGGGACCATCAGTGAGGTCAAAGCTCAGCTCCATGTGACACATGAAGCATGTGAGAGCTCTCAGATTTGCACATACAGGTTTCTGATCAGTTATTGATGGATCTCAGCAAATAAACCAGGGCCTGTCCGGGACATTTGGGGGCCCTGAGCAGGACATGTTTAGGGGTCCTACTTAGCCATAAATAGACAAAACCACATTAAACCTTTTGTTAAATGTGAACTCTCCACAGGTCCTCAATGAGTGCGCTCACTGACACACTCTGAGCTGACTCCTAACTTTCCCTTTCATTGACGGGGGTGGGGGGAGGGGGGGAGGGCTGTGGATCAGTGTTTAGAGCAGTTGTCCTCCAACCAGATTTGGAGGTTTGATTAGTAGGACATGTCGGTGTACCCCTGGGCAAGAACTCCTCACTGCCCCCGATGCCCTCCCTGGTGTGTGGATGTGATGTACAGGTCAGATTTTTACAGCTCAGGGTGGACCAGGGGCCTTTACAAGCAGCTCTGCAATGATTTATACACTGATGCATGATCAGATTACTGTTGTAGAGATAGTGCTGTAGGAATGTGTGTGTGCGTGCGTGCTTGCGTATGTGTCTATGCAAGCAGTTGCTAAAGTATTTCACAGAATAAACAACAGTTTTTTAGCTTGTAGGGGGAGTGGTGGAGCAGAGGTTAGAGAAGGCAGGCCTGTGATCAGAAGGTCGCTGGTTCAACTCTCCGAACAGATATAAAAATGTGTTTGGTTAAACACCTACCTCAATTCTTATTTGCCCCACTCTGGGCCCTTGAGCAAGGCCATTAACCCCCATCATCTGCTCCCCCGGGCACCCTAGATGCAGCTCTCTGCTCCACACAGAGGCTGTGGTAGCTCGGTGTCTGTGGTTGTGTCAGGAAGAACATCAAAACAACCACCAAGACATCGTGCGAGCTAGTTCACTGTGGTGACCCCTGAAGAAGTGAGCAGCCGAAAGAAGAAAAAAATATTTAGGCTGTGCACACACATACACATACACACACACATATATACAAATAGTAGCTACAGACGTATTACATAAATGTTGGATATAAAAAAAATAAGCAATTAATTTTTTTAAAAGAAGATTAAAGTTTGGTTTGTGCTGCTGTAACATGGTGCAGAATAGATGAATGTAAATTTAAGACATATATTTCTCTAAGCAGTAAATTTGCAGTTTTAATTATCTGCTTTATGTTTTCTAGTCGTTTATGTAAAGATGACTTCCTGTAAACAAAGATGTTTGTTTCTTATCGCTGTGCCATCAACACGATAACAGTCAGGGACATTTATTGATCGCTGGCAAAAGTGGAATTTGGGGGGGAAGGGGGATTTAAGGGCCTTGCTCAAGGGCCCAGACAGGGGCAAATGAGGGTGGAGGAAGGTGTGGGTGCTTCACCTTTTCCACTCCAACTTTGATGGTACCTTGAGGGGGATTTGAACTGATGACCTCTTGATCTTTGCATCACCACCCTCTAAAAGTAAAAGTAGTTCCTCCTAATAAACAATGTAAATTACTGAAGCTTGCAGTGAATTGTTTTGTTTTGTGAGATTTTTTACGTTCTGGACAATTTAAAATGTAATTTAAAAAGTTTTTAGTGATTCATTCTCCGTTTTTTATGTGTTTACAGTGATACGGTGGTACACATCACTGCAGCGTTCAGTGGATTTATCATTTGTGCCCCTGTTTCAGTGTTCACAGCAGGTAGAGTCTGATGGGGTAAAATATTCTGCCCACTCTCTGCTGGTTTTAGACCATCGATACGTTCACACAAACACTAGAGCTCAGGATCTTATCAAATGCAGGAAAACCTGAGCCCAACAGAGAAATAAACGGGACACTTTCTCGAAGATCTTATTTTATAAACTCTGTGGCGTCGGAGAGCGTGGTGGCTCAGTGGTCAGAACTGTGAGTCTCCAGGTTTGAGCCCTGTTG